GGAGTGGGTGGGTGGGAAGAGATTAACCTAAGAACTTATGTGCGTCTATGCATAACCCATGGACACGGACAATAGTGTGGGGAAGGCCTGGGGCGGGGTGCAGGTTGGAGGGGATTGATGGGGGGAAAGGGGGACATTTGTAATGCTTTCAATGGTAAGGATAAATTTAAAAAAAATAAATAAAAGAAGGGGGGTTATTAGTGCCTGCGGGCTAGCCTTTCCCCAAGCCCGGGATTCCCAGAGCTGCTCCTCTTGCTCATCCATGTTAAACTGCCCGCCAGCCCAACACGATTCGAGTGGGGGCCGTGTAACCCCTTCCCGGGGCTGCCGAGAAAGATCTGGGATGGAGGTGACAAAGGCGTTCTGAGCACAGGAACAGAACACGGGTCCACAAACAGAAATTGGAGTTGGGGACAGGAGGAAAATCACACCTCCATTGTCCCTCCCCTCACTGAAACTGAGCATTTCCTCTGTGGCAAAGTTGGGCCACAAGCCACAGCAGGGTCAGCAGTACCGGTGGCGGGGCCCCAGCAGAAATCACAGCTCTCGTCACATCCGTTGGAGTTGGTGCAGATGTCATGAAGTACCATTCCACTCACCATGGCTTTAAAATTACGGGAGCCACTGACCTGCTGCTCCATCCTGATTTATAATCATTGATAAAGGAGCGCGTGCATTACGTAACAACCGTAAATCTGGGGTTTTGAAAATATTTGGATAAGTGTGTTTTAGTAGATTAGTTTCCTTTGTGATGTTGACGAAAACGTCCAGCCTTAAGGAAAAGCCTTACAAGAGTTTATTTGAGCCAAACTGACCATAATTGCAGGGAAGCAAAATCTCAGCGGATTGAGAAAATGCCCTGGGGAATGGCCGTTTTGCAGCTTATTTTATACATTAGAACCAAAGGAGGAGATTTTAGGAGGGTCCCAGGAAGTCCATTGGTGGTAGATTAAGGGGATGGGAGAAACAAAGCAGGGAAATCTCTGGGAGTGGGTAAAAAGCAAAATGGGAGAGACACTTCTTTTATACATTGGTGAGTACAGGATAGTTAATAGGTATCATTTACAGCACATGGAGATGATATTGGGGACAGGTCACAACGAGGGGCTCTGTGGTCTCTGGTGTGGAAGTTGTGCCCTGAGGGGTCTGGAAAAGGAGATCACTCTGACGTTTCAAAGGCATGTTACCGTAAATGCAAAACGACACCAGACAGGCTCACTTAAGGTAAAAATTGACCTTTGTCAAGGAAGCTACAGGCCTAGGACGTAACCACCTGCCATGACCCACTTTTAGTTGGGAGTTGTATGTTCAGACCATCCTGTGTGGTTATTTTCAGTCTCTTGAGTTTGTAAGGCCACCATGCCGGCCTCCCCTGAGCTTGTCAGTTTAGCCTGTGGCCCCTTTTCCATCCGCAGTCCTATGTATTTTATTTTTGGATTTAAGACATTACTGTGAGAAAGGGTCTCTGGGTGTCACCAGTCCTTGGCACAAGAAAGATCACACGGATCTCAGAGCATGGCTGGATGGGGTGCCACGGGGCGAGCAGGCCAGGCTTGTACCCAGCATCCTGGTCTGGGGTCACACAGGCCTCTTGTGTACTGGCACCTGGAGTAGAAGTGGGAATGGGGGCCAGGAAGGGTGACAGTGGGGCCCCACGTGGACCTCAGTGCCAGCTCTAGGGACCCTTTCCCTCTCTCCAGGTAGTACTGTAGGGAGATGTGGGGAAGGCTTGCACACCGATGTGAGTGCCTGAGTATTTTAGAGTAAAGACAAACCTTTTTGAGTGTTGTCAGGTCACTGGGAACTTGAGAGAAAACAGATTTTAAACTTGCATGTATGCAGTCAACACACAGCCCTCAATTAGGAAAGGACAGAAAACTTCAGGGAGCCCTGAGGCCACACCCAGGAGACCAGAGATACTCTGGCCTTAGGTCATGGGTAGAGTCTTCAGTCACCTTCGGTTGAGCTGTGAGGGACCCTTGCAGGAGAACTAGTGCTGGGTCCAGAGGCAGCACCCCGGGCACCCGGGAAGTGCAATGGCAGAAGCCAGCATAGGGGTGGGGGAGCTCTTTCTGTAAACATACGACTCAAAGGCACATCCCAACCCAGCCCTAGGGCAGCACGGCTCTGAAGCGAGAAGACACTTCCATTTAAGAGTCTTGACTCTTGCTTCCTTGATGTGACATCAGCTGCCTCCGAACTCACCTGGACAAGCTCTTTGGGCTGTGCACCCAGCTCACCTGAGGCCGAGGCAGGTCTTCCTCTCTCTTTCGCCTCCTGTTTTTCCAGTCCCTGCTGCAGTTTTGGCTTTTCCCCTTGCAAATCAGAAATGGGCAAATGGAAAAAAATAGAGGGGAAAAGACGGCACCTCATGAGATTTCTGTGGGGGCCACAGAAGCTGGTGGCAAGCACCCACGATCGTCTTTCAACCAGACAGAAGATTCCTGAGCAAGTCTTTACAAACACTTGTAGCGTCCTCCTTTGAAAAGTCTTTTTAAGCGCTTGGTTAGTTAATTAACTTTCTGGCTCCTTTTGGTTTTGTTACTGTTTATTTCCTTTCTTCCTTCTGAACCTTTAAAAGCATGACCTAAATGGGAGCAAGCAGTAAATAAACACTTACAAAGCGCTTTTCTCACAGACGGGCTGGGCGAGCAGGTGTGATGCCTATAG